ATAGTTTAAGGGGAATTTCAAAAAATATGTTCATTGTAATTATCCTAACTAGCGAAGCTTTTAAAAAACATAATTTCAAGTATGAATAAATAAAAATTAAGAAAATTACTTAAGATGCAAGATGTGAATAGTATATGCAACATTTTGAATATGACATGAAGTCATAAATTGCATTAAAAGCAACTTAGTAGTAACGGAACTATTGCAGCGTCGTTTTTGGGGTTTTAGAAAAATTTTAATTTTGCACAAGGAACTCCAAACTACTTAGTTACGGGACCAGATTTTTGCTGATAGGAACCATTTGTGGTCGAAATTCTATAAGATCTGACTGAAATAGAATATTTAACATTTTAATATAAAATGAAACCATAAATTGTTACAGACGAACATAGTTCTATCTATGGCTGCTTTCTTGGATTTTTGGATCGTTTCTACTTTCTTTAGTCAAATCTAAGTACAGGACTGTTTTTTTATGAGAGGGGCCGTTTGTAGTCGTTACTCTTTATCATAGCGATGAAGGAGATAAAATATTCTACATGTTTTGTCACATTCTTTAGAAGGAGATACAAGCAGAAAAACATGGTTGTGGTAACCATGATTTGGTTGCAACATATTATGGTTAAATTTATGATTTTAGTCGAAACATTAACTATTTTAAAGTATCATATTCTGATTAAATACAGTTGCAATATTTTATCATAGTATTTTCTTATTTATCATAACATTGTCACACATGATCATATTATGATTCAATATAATCATAATATGACACAAGTGCTCTATAAAAATTTCGGTTAAAAATATGTATTCAGTGCAAAATTAATTTTGTTGAATCATAATAACATTTAATGATTATTTATAAGTTTAAATGGTTGCAAATAACATAATATGTTTGCATTGCTATCATTTTTTAGTTGTTGGAACAATAATTATGTTTCGGTGAATCATATTAAAATTTATAATTGTCAAGAACATTAAAATGTTTACAGTAACTAAAATATTGTTAAAATAGCAACTATTTGTTTTTGATAACAATAAATATATTGTCACAATTTACATAGTTTAGTGGTAGTAACCATATTTTTTTCTCTACGTGTAAATATTGGTAGAGTAAACCCCTTGATTAGCCGATTTATTAAAGTGAAACATTTTTCGACAGCTTATAGAACTTTGTGTAATCAAATTAATTGATAACTTTTTCTCATCTTACTTCAAAATGAATTAGAAACTTTTGAATTTTTATCAAATTCCCATAAATTAAGCAGCTTGCCGTCTTTCGATAGTTATGGCATAGGATCGTTTTGAATTATTTTAAACATTCCTTAACTAGTTTCTTTTTTTTGTAATATTCAAATTCTAGTGCAAATTACATGAAAATTAATTATTATTAAATTTTTATAACAAATTAAAGTGGCATTGTTAACGGAAGTTTTAAATTTCTGAAAAGGCATTCGATTGATGTAGCTACAGCTTAGTTAACAATCTTTCGAGTCATTTACGATCTTATTGTTATGGAAACGAAGTAAATTTCTAGTTGCTTGTGATTTTGTCTTGAAAACTGGACGATCAATATTAATTTCTTTACGAACGAATTCGTTCTCATTCTCTTCTTTAATTCTTTTCAAATCATTCATTTTTTAGAAGTTACTTAACAGGCGTTCAGAAGTCATCAACACCTGCTTTAAATACTTGACTTGTTAATATTAATGTTAAGTGAATATTTAACAAATGAAACAACGTTTCAAATAACACTTCCTATATTAACATTAATATATTGTTATTGTTGTTTTTTTATCGTATAAATTTTGGCCAAAAATAAATGAATAAACTATGCAATGACTAAAACGAAACCAGTTAAATGTTTGATCATTTATATTTTTTTTTCTTTTATTGTATTCGATATATAATTAATGATCACATCAAACTGTGTTATTTAATTTTATAAGAAAAATAATAAAATCACACCAATAAACATCAAAATTTGTTAAATAATTTAATCCATTATATTATAATTAATAAAAACTGACGGCATCATTTTGCATTTGAAAAAAAATAAAATTTAATTTATAATTATTTTAAAGATGACATTTAAAAAAAAATTCAAAGAATTAGCAGGTTTAATTTATCTAAATAATAAAATATTTTTAGTTTCTAACACTAAACGAAAAATAGAAAAAAAACATGGTCTAAGAGCAACATATTATGGTTAAATTTATGATTGTAGTCTAAACATATTATGGTTATTGTAACTACTTTAAAATATAATATTATGTTTAAAAATAGTTGTAATATTTTATCACAATATTTTTCTATTTATCATAACATTGTCATACATAATCATATTATGTTCCAATTAACATAATCATATTATGTTCCAAAATGATCAGAATATGTTCAAATCTAATTAATATAACAATTATTTGTTTTTGGTAATAATATATTGTTACAATAAACATAGTATAGTTGTAGTAACCATGTCGAACTATGTTTTTTCTTTATGTATACTAAAATTAATTTAAATATTATACAACTGCTTACTTTTCTCTTCTTAGTAAGTGGTTTTAAATATTTTAAATAAACTATCTATAATTTAATTTCCGATGAAAAATATTTGGTAATTACTAGCTAATTAAAAATGTTTATAGTTGTAATTAATTTTACATTAATATTTAAAAAACAAACAAAAAAATATGATTAATTTATTTTTATAATCATAAATAATTTGTTAAATTACATCTAGAAATAGAAAATTTAAAAAATACATAAATAAACTATAAAATATCAACATTCATAGTTAACTCACGAATGACCCAAATACGAGTGAAGCAAAGCAAGTCTGACAAGGCGCATGTTTCATTAACTCTTTAAAAGCGTCAAATTGAAACGAGAAAAAAACGCATTTTAGGTAAAAATACATATTCTACAACAAAAATAAAACTTTAACTGGCAGCTAAAGATACATTCACCAAAAAAATCATAAAGATTGATAGAGTATGTTTAAGAGTACATACATACATACATATGAACTATTTATGTATGTGTAACATAAGAAAATGTTTAAAAAATACTGAATAAATTAACAATTATGACTTAATAAAAACTAATTTAATCTTCAAGAGGAATTAAATGAATAAAATGAAGTATTTGTCTTTTCTTATTTCTTTGTTACTAAATGAATGATGTTGAGCAAGATCTAAGTGTTTAGGGGGTGGTGGTGGCACTGAGAGTTCAAAACAAAAGGGGAATTACTTTTTATAGGTTGTTTAACTTTTTAAGGATTTTAGTCATAATAAAACAAAATATCAAACGCAATTCCTTTTTCGCTATTTTGACATTATTTTTCACAAGTTTACCCACGCCTTTTGACTATCGACATAATCAACTATTCCCTTCTAGTGGAAAGGTTAGGTGGAAGGATATACTACATCAGGTCCTACTTCATGTTTGTTCGTCAGCGATCATTAAATGTTCTTCTTTAAATTTTGTCTTCATATTTGAAACGGGTTTAATAGTGTTAACATATGATTTTGATCATGCTTCGTAATTATGCAGAAACATGGTTGTAGTGATCATGATTTAGGAGCAACATATTATGGTTATTGTAACTATTTTAAACTATTATATTCTGATTAAATAAAGTTGCAATGTTTTATCATTATATTTTCCTATTTATCATAACATTGTCATAGATTATCATATTATGATCCAAAATGAACATAATATAATCCAAGTGCTAACATATAATGGTTATTTGCAAGTTTAATAACATAATATGTTTCCATTGTTTTCGTAATTTAGTTGTTGGAACAATAACTATGTTTCGGTGAATCATATTGCAATTTATAATAGCAATGTATGAACGTTAAAATGTTTACATTAACTAAAATATTGTTCAAATCTAATTAAAATAACAGTTATGTGTTTGAGATAACAATGTATTGTCACAATGAACATAGTGTAGTTGTAGTAAACTTGTTGAACCATGTTTTTTCTTTCATTCACTGTAACTCTTGCATACAATGTCCTGATATACTTGATGTAGCGCAGCTACTTGATACTCTCTGTTCCTTATTTTACCGAAAAACTTCTATATAACTAAATGTATATCTTGCTAGGCTGGGAATTCTGAATTTGGATATCGCCAATTTTTGAACTGATATTACGATTGAGAGGGCGTTGAAATTACCTATGTATTCGGATCGCCATAGATCCGGATCGGGACAAAAACCAAACGATGGAGATTAGCGTAATGTTTATATGACATAGTTACAGTTCCAGATCGCCACAAAAGAATCGACGGGTACTTATTTTATGTGTGTTCGGCCAGAGAAGGGTCATAAAGTTTACAACCCTTCTTGAAGATTTGATTTGGGCCCCTACTGAAAACACGAAGCTACCATTTCTCGCTAATAACAAGTAAATTCATTCTTTCGGCCTTTTTCACCTAAAGTTCTCCATTATCAATCTTCTGCTATAGAGGGCCAAATCGATTTACTATAGGTCTTTCTCTTTGTCATTTACAAGTAGACATGATCTTTGAAAAAAGTTGGTCTAACCAATATTCGGATAAGTGATGATCTATTATTTTTCATCGTATTGATTCAAGAACCTCTCAGTGTAACATTGACCGCCAACTGTTGCAACAGTTCTTCTGTCATTAAAAGTACTTCCCTGGTAAAGCTGTTTTTGACTTAGAATTTTTTTAATGATTTATATATAATTATCGTGGTGCCAATATCTAATTACATATTGTGGAAATTATCCCAACTTATAATGCTCACTAGTGACTTCTCTTCTTAATCCAATTCACCAGAAATAATCTTAAAATTAATCAGAACGTAGCTTAATTATTTTCATTTCACAAAAATCACGAAAAATGTTAAGAAAATTCTGCAATCTTCAAATCTCCCAGATTTTATAGATTTTAAGCACTGCATAATCAACGACCTGCTGCTGCCTTAAGCAAAACAAACTTTATCACAATTACTTCATTTTTCTAGTCGTAGTTCTTGTCTGTTCATCTGTTTATCTGCCTGCCAGGGCAAAAGTGTTAAAATTGGCACTTGTTATAAAAGTGAGAAAAGAAATTAAAAATCTCATAAAAAGTTCATTAAATAAAGTGTTATAATTTAGTACATTTTTTACACTGTTAGTTTTTAAGCGTTTTTTTATATCTGTTTTGCTTTTTTGTCACTTTAAACGCATTTGTGCGTTTTTTCTCTTTAATTTCTCATAAATTTACTTGTAGACAATTTCATTTTATGTTTTTGACCTAAAAATAGCACAAACAACAAATAAGAGATTGTTGTATACTTGTAGTAAGTAGTTTTGTTTAGCGTTCTGAGAATTGTATTTCAAACCCCATGACTACAATATGTCTAATAACAAGTGCCAAGTAGAACGGCACTATTGTGTTTATTTTTAACGCAAGAAATGAAGTAAAATATTACAAAATATTTTTAAATTTATTTATTAACTGCAATCAATTTTATTTTAACATATGAATTTTGACACTCTAAATTATGCGTGTTAATAGTGTTTTAGGTCATAGTGACTGGAAGTGAAGGTTATGTGTATGTCTAGTAAGTTAATTCACTTGTTATTAAATGTGTAAAAGCATAAACATTTATTAAGTTAAAGTCGAAAAAACTGAATAATTGTTTAGTAGTTTGAACTGAACTAGAACTGAACTAGAACTGAATTAGAACTGAACTAGAACTGAACTGGAACTGGACTAGAACTGAACTAGAACTGAACTAGAACTGAACTAGAACTGAACTAGAACTGAACTAGAACTGAACTAGAACTGAACTAGAACTGAACTAGAACTGAACTAGAACTGAACTAGAACTGAACTAGAACTGAACTAGAACAGAACTAGAACTGAACTAGAACTGAACTAGAACTGAACTAGAACTGAACTAGAACTGAACTAGAACTGAACTAGAACTGAACTAGAACTGAACTAGAACTGAACTAGAACTGAATTAGAACTGAACTAGAACTGAACTGGAACTGGACTAGAACTGAACTAGAACTGAACTAGAACTGAACTAGAACTGAACTAGAACTGAACTAGAACTGAACTAGAACTAGAACTGACTAGAACTGAACTAGAACTGAACTAGAACTGAACGAGAACTGAACTAGAACTGAACTAGAACTGAACTAGAACTGAACTAGAACTGAACTAGAACTGAACTAGAACTGAACTAGAACTGAACTAGAACTGAATCTAGAACTGAATAGAACTGAACTAGAAACTGAACTGGAAACTGAACTAGAACTGAACTAGAACTGAACTAGAACTGAACTAGAACTGAACTAGAACTGAACTAGAACTGAACTAGAACTGAACTAGAACTGAACTAGAACTGAACTAGAACTGAACTAGAACTGAACTAGAACTGAACTAGAACTGAACTAGAACTGAACTAGAACTGAACTAGAACTGAACTAGAACTGAACTAGAACTGAACTAGAACTGACTAGAACTGAACTAGAACTGAACTAGAACTGAACTAGAACTGAACTAGAACTGAACTAGAACTGAACTAGAACTGAACTAGAACTGAACTAGAACTTGAACTAGAACTGAACTAGAACTGAACTAGAACTGAACTAGAACTGAACTAGAACTGAACTGAACTAGAACTGAACTAGAACTGAACTAGAAACTGAACTAGACTGAACTGAACTGGAACTGACTAACTAGAAACTGAACTAGAAACTGAACTAGAACTAGAACTAGGACACGTGAACTAGAACTGAACTAGAACTGAACTAGAACTGAACTAATGAACTTAGAACTGATAACTGAACTAGAACTGAACTAGAACTGAACTAGAACTGAACTAGACTGAACTAGAACTGAACTAGAACTAGAACTGAACTAGAAACTGAACTAGAACTGAACTAGAACTGCAACTAGAACTGAACTAGAACTGAACTAGAACTGAAACTAGAACTGAACTAGGAACTGAACTAGAACTGAACTAGAACTGAACTAAACTAGAACTGAACTGAACTGAACTGAACTGAACTGGCTAGAACTGAACTAGAACTGAACTAGAACTGAACTAGAACTGAACTAGAACTGAACTAGAACTGAACTAGAACTGAATTAGAACTGAACTAGAACTGAACTAGAACTGAACTAGAACTGAACTAGAACTGAACTAGAACTGAACTAGAACTGAACTAGAACTGAACTAGAACCCTGAACTAACTGAACTAGAACTGAACTAGAACTGAACGAGGATGACTAACTGAACTAGAACTGACTAGAACTGAACTAGAACTGGAACTAGAAACTGAACTAGAACTGAACTAGAACTGAACTAGAAACTGTCTGAACTAGAAGCTGAACTAGAAAATGAACTAGATAGAATGAACTAGAACTGAAACTAGAACTGAACAGAACTTGAACTAGACTGAACAGAACGAACTAGAACTGAACTAAAACTGAATACTAAAACTGAACTAGAAAACTGAACTAGAACTGAACTGATGAACTAAAACTGAACAGGACTGAACTAGAACTGTGAACTAGAACTGAATAGAAGGAAACTAGAAAACTTGAAACTAGAACTGAACTAGAACTAAAACAAGAACAGAATAGAACCTGAAGTAGAACTGAACTAGAATGAACTCGAACTAAAACAAGAACAGAACTAGAAACTGAAATAGAACTGAAGTAGAAACTGAACTCGAATGAAACTAGAACTGAACTGAATGAACTAGAACTGAACTAGAACTGAACTAGAACTGAACTAGAACTGAACTAGAACTGAACTAGAACTGAACTAGAACTGAACTAGAACTGAACTAGAACTGAACTAGAACTGAACTAGAACTGAACTAGAACTGAACTAGAACTGAACTAGAACTGAACCAGAACTGAACTAGAACTGAACTAGAACTGAACTAGAACTAAACTAGAACTGAACTAGAACTGAACTAGAACTGAACTAGAACTGAACTAGAACTGAACTTGAACTGAACTAGAACTGAACAAGAACTGAACTAGAACTGAACTAGAACTGAACTAGAACTGAACTAGAACTGAACTAGAACTGAACTAGAACTGAACTAGAACTGAACTAGAACTGAACTAGAACTGAACTAGAACTGAACTAGAACTGAACTAGAACTGAACTAGAACTGAACTAGAACTGAACTAGAACTGAACTAGAACTGAACTAGAACTGAACTAGAACTGAACTAGAACTGAACTAGAACTGAACTAGAACTGAACTAGAACTGAACTAGAACTGAACTAGAACTGAACTAGAACTGAACTGGAACTGAAATAGAACTGAATTAGAACTGAACTAGAAATGAAATAGAACTGAATTAGAACAGTACTAGAACATAATTTCTTACTGATGAAGGTTCTAATACATAGTATGTGTTTGTTTACATGTGTTCAAGAAGAACTTGTCTCTAACAAATAAAATTCAACGTTTTACGAATTTACTACAAAACAATAACCGAGTATTTATCATTCTTTTTGGTAATTTATGACCAAAACAAACTAAGAAAATAACCCAAACAAAATCAAAACATCCGCTTCATAAAAACAACGATTAAAGACAAATTTTTGATCAGCACGTGATGTCGTCTACCACACAAGATCATTTTGTTATTTCATGTTATGTTTTAAGATTTGACCAAAAACAACAAGAAAATTGATTGAAAATTTACGTCCACAATTGTTAATGTTTTTCTGTGTTTTTTCTTGCTTTTTTGGTTGAGGTTTTTTTTTTGTGTAATTTTTCTTGCTATTGTGGTGGCTGCTGCCGTTGTAGACAACAGTAAAACTCGTTGTTGCATCCAAATTGCAGCTGGTCACGATGAACTTTAAACATTTGGAAGCAAAAAAAAAAAAAATATATAAAATGCTAACAAAATGAAAACATAAGGAGTTCTATAGAAAAACTTATATTTAGGTAAAGCACACCTGAGTTGGAAAATAAATTTTCAACAATTTACTATGGATTTTACCCTGCATGAGCAAAATAAACGATGTATTTTAAACAACTAAAAACCACTATTTATTTTCTGTAAGGAAAATTAATTGATTTTCTTTGAACATATTCGCAAAACCGAGAAAGAAAGAACAATTTTCTATTTTTCAAAATATAAACTTCTGCACATATGCGAGTTAAAAACAAACTTTTTTGTTGTTTATCTTTTTGTAATGAAAGTGCTAAATTTATATGGCAAATATGAAAAATGTTTATTTAAAACAAGTTATGTCAGTCGGGTGGTTTTTGTTTTTGTGTTGAACATGCAATTTGACTAGAAGGCACAATGGGTTGTTGAGTGATAGATTTGAAACTAGAATAGAAATAGAACGGAATAAAACAGAACTAGAACAGAACTAAAACAGAACTAGAACAGAACTAGAACAGAACTAGAACAGAACTAGAACAGAACTAGAACAGAACTAGAACAGAACTAGAACAGAACTAGAACAGAACTAGAACAGAACTAGAACAGAACTAGAACAGAACTAGAACAGAACTAGATTAGAACTAAAACAGAACTAGAACAGAACTAGAACAGAACTAGAACAAAACTAGAACAGAACTAGAACAGAACTAGAACAGAACTAGAACAGAACTAGAACAGAACTAGAACAGAACTAGAACAGAACTAGAACAGACATAGAACAGAACTAGAACAGAACTAGAACAGAACTAGAACAGAACTAGAACAGAACTAGAACAGAACTAGAACAGAACTAGAACAGAACAGAACTAGAACAGAACTAGAACAGAACTAGAACAGAACTAGAACAGAACTAGAACAGAACTAGAACAGAACTAGAACAGAACTAGAACAGAACTAGACCAGAACTAGAACAGAACTAGATTAGAACTAAAACAGAACTAGAACAGAACTAGAACAGAACTAGAACAGAACTAGAACAAAACTAGAACAGAACTAGAACAGAACTAGAACAGAACTAGAACAGAACTAGAACAGAACTAGAACAGAACTAGAACAGACATAGAACAGAACTAGAACAGAACTAGAAGTAAATTAGACCTAGAACAGAACTAGAAC